AAATAATTAATATCCAAAAATATTGAATTATGTAACACCCTTCCCTTCCACACCCCTCTCATCCCATCCTTTCCCAAGGCAACCACCCAACTCATACGCACACAAAACACCCTTCCCTTCCACACCCCTCTCATCCCATCCTTTCCCAAGGCAACCACCCAACTCATACGCACACAAAACACCCTTCCCTTCCAACACCCTCTCATCCCATCCTTTCCCAAGGCACCACCCAACTCATACGCACACAAACAACCCTTCCCTTCCACACCCCTCTCATCCCATCCTTTCCCAAGGCAACCACCCAACTCATACGCACACAAAACACCCTTCCTTCCACACCCTCTCATCCCATCCTTTCCCAAGGCAACCACCCACTCATACGCACCAAAACAGTTATTTCAGCATACTAATTAAAAGGATAGGTGAAATGTGTGTGTGATGAATAACCTATGCGTAGTATGATGAATCATTTATTGCTTTTATATGGCCTATTTCAGTATCATTTCGGTATACATACATGTGTCGAACAGTTTCGACGTTCCTGTGTCTTACAAATATATATTTGAACATTCACCATATTTGCAATGCGTTGAATAGGTGTTGATCGTGCCAGCTTTGATCCCAAACGAAATATGTGAAAAATACATCCAAAGCATGAGTGAATGCTTCAGTATAGCCGAAGGAGATACCAGCGCATGAGTGTGTCATCAAGTCATCGGATGAGACATTGACTCCGAGAGCTTTGCCAATGTTTGTATAGTATTGAAAACTTTCTCTATTGGGCGGTTTCTCTTCAATCATATAAAAGTGGTATGGTTGGAAGTAACTATTGAATGGATCGCCTTAGAAAAATGTGTCAAATAAATCACATTTCATTATGCGGTCAAATCGAAAATAATTCCGTTTCGCAATGTAATAAGCCCACAAATAAATTTGTGAGTAATAATTGTATGGCTGGGTGAATTCTGGAAGGCCCATATTAATGATCTGACCTCCACAGAGTTCAATATCTTCTTTCATTTCTGGAGTTAGCTGATGATATGCAGCATCGTCTAAAAGAAACGCAACTGTGCACTTACATCCAGTATGGCGGAGAGTCCAAATAAACGTGTTAATGTTTTCAACATGTTTTGTGCATCCAGCTAATAAAAGATCTCGATTGGTACTATCTGAATTTGTATTATCATAAGACGAAATGGTGGAAGTGAACTCAAAATAAGAGTAATTAGGTTATTTTGCCGACCAAATATATTTACAAGGCAAAATATCATATTACATGTCAACTTATTATCAGTATGTTTTGATTTAAAAAAATTTTATCAAATATCATATTAAAATTAACATCTATATCTATATCAATATCTACACTATAAATTTTTTTATTCAATATCATAGATTTCAAAAATTTATTTCAATTTTAAATTAATTTATGGTTTTCATCAAAATTGTTTTTTATTAAAAAGCATGTTTCACAATTTTTACGGTTTCTTTCAAAAGTTATAAAATTTCAGATGAGTCGAAAGATCTACGATCTAATTGATATAAATTGGATTCAATCTGCAATTGAACAAATTAATCAAGGTCAAAAACTCAAAACAATACTTAGCATGTCCAACTCACTGATGGACGCATTATACCATCAATATCTAAAAAAACATTCCACTAGCAATTAAATCAAATGGAATTCCTGACAACAAAATTTAAACCAGGGCGATAAACCAATCGAACCACCTGAGGAATTATTAGATACAGTAAATAAATTACATCAAAAAGTTAAAAAATCGGAATATCAAGAGCATACGGAAGAATTATTACCGATAAGGATATGTTAATTCAAAGGGAAACCGAAAATGCTAATCATGATTTAGATGATTTACCAATTTCACAATTAAATACAAATTCAATAGGTTTTTCAAATTCTTCAGAATATCTTTCTGAGTATACAAATTCTGATTCTGATTCATCAGCAGAAAAACTTTTTTTCTTCCAATTCTTCCGAAGAAGATCCACAAATTGAGTCGGAATTATCTGAAGATCCATATATCGTCATACAGAAACTACTCAAAATTTGGAAAAATCAACCGATTATTTTAACAAAAAATATTGGAAACAAACTTTTCAGAAAGAACTGTAAAGAAGTGTTTCAAAATTCTGAATATCGTTCAACCTGCCAAAAATTCAGTACCAAAAGGAAAAACAAAATACGAAGCAGTATATATAAACTTAATATGGCATGTCGATATTTCATTTTTTTTAAACATCGTCAGGGTGAATATCTTTATGCGGTTATTGACGATAAATCCCGAAAAATTTAGCATGGCTCACTTGGAAACAAAAGAAGCTGCGCAAACAAGTAGAGTAATTGACCAATGTTTCCAAAAATATGGGAAGCCCTTTGCTATATGGAGTATTAACGGAACAGAAAATTTTGGGGTTTTTCGAAATTTATTACAAAATGCTAACGTTCAAAGTATTACAATTCTCCCACATTGCCCATATATGAATGGGAAAATTGAAAGGTTTTGGCAAAATGTGGAAATTGAAGACGCCACATGGAATGATATACAAAGTCTTATAGAAAATTACAATTCAAACCCACACACAAGTTTACCAAAAAACCCCGACATTACATACATGGTACACACCTAACAAATTTTACGAAATTTCAGAAAAATATGATTCAAGTAAATTACCGCTTTGGATTGTAGATGGAGTTGTTAAAGATCTAAGAGAGTCAATAAGAAATTTCAACGCTTCAAGAAGGAATCAAAGAAATTGACGAAGTTCCAGAATTTTATTCAACAATTCTTAATCAATTAACAAAAACTATACCGAAACTTATCTTACCATCCAAATCAAATCACATTACATACGGAATAAACATTTAATCTTTTACCATTAAAATTATATTTATACGTTATTTAATTTTTTTACGTCTAAGTTGAATAGGATAATAGCCGAAGATATAAAGTAACTATAGTTTACAAGCTAAGGAACAAATCAGCATTGAAACTAAAAAATGCTGAAATATTATAATAAATTGAAGAAATACTGTGATAGAATACCTAGTTATACTAGATACTATTATAATATGAATTCATTTGTATTGAATATCGATTAAAATAAGATGGAACGTCAATTTGACAGACTCAAGTTTCGAATTAGAGACCAACTTTCATCAGCATAGTATATGTGCGCAAACTACTGCATAATGGTATGCTTATCTTTTCATTTTAAAAAATAACGTATTTGAATAATTTCGTAAAAAATTAGAATTACTCGATATTAAGCATATTGCTTTTCTATCATATATGCTTATATTCTACAATAGTGTTACCAAACATCGGGCAACATCATACGTATAATACAACTTTTTCGTACTTCTTTATCGAATTTAAATAGAACTAAGTTTTTATTTTAAATAAAAGAAAAATAATTCTAATTTATAATCTCATTATTAATTTATTCTCATTTTAATATTTCATCGATTTTTTATTATCGATATTCAATACAAATGAATTCATATTATAATAGTATCTAGTATAACTAGGTATTCTATCACAGTATTTCTTCAATTTATTATAATATTTCAGCATTTTTTAGTTTCAATGCTGATTTGTTCCTTAGCTTGTAAACTATAGTTACTTTATATCTTCGGCTATTATCCTATTCAACTTAGACGTAAAAAATTAAATAACGTATAAATATAATTTTAATGGTAAAAGATTAAATGTTTATTCCGTATGTAATGTGATTTGATTTGGATGGTAAGATAAGTTTCGGTATAGTTTTTGTTAATTGATTAAGAATTGTTGAATAAAATTCTGGAACTTCGTCAATTTCTTTGATTCCCTCTTCCTCGCAATACAACTCCATATCATTAACTTGTATTTAAAGGCTTCCATATACAAAACTATATATAATGTTTGAAAGTTAAATCCAATCTTTTTCTATTTCTAAAAAAAATGAGACCTAAACACGAGATAGCTTTCAGAAAATTTTCAGGGACATTTTTAATCTTTTTTTTTATTTATTGTAATATCTTTGTTATTAAATTTGAATTGTTTAATATTTGAATGTAAAGAATCGAATAGTAATAATTTTAGTTTTAATACATAGCTAATTGCTAAGCAAAATAATTAATTTATTGTAATTTTGACATGTAAACTAAAGGGAAATTTAGCCGGCCAAATATATGTCACTTTTTGACTTCACCTCACTTTCACCATTTCGTCTTATGACACTTGATCTATACAAAATCGCCAGGTTGAAATTGTATAAGTAAATGTGATAAAAAAACTATTGACTGGGGATCGTGGAAGTAGCACAAGCCAAAAAAACAAAATTGTTAAAAAAAATAGGTGATATTTTGATGAAATAAACATAAGTAAACCGAAATTGATGAGGCATTGGGAAATTAAGGTTAGTTTGATAAGTATAATATGGATTTGATTTCCATGTTTAAAACATATAGTAAAAGTTTTGAAAATAATTAAGGGTGCACCCGCATGTACGTTTATTTGAGAGTAGGAGGATTACCCTCTCAATTTTGAATGCTTCGTTAACGCAATATCTCGATGAATATTGTATTAAAATTGAATTTGCCCATACCAATATATCTGATACAATATCCTTAAGTTTTACTAAAAAGAATTTTTAAAAATCCCTGTAGGGTTGTTAAAAATATCAAAAATTAGCGTTTTGAAGACACCATGGTGTCTTATAATTTTCCCTTCCTTATTGGCGTGTAGAAATAAATGCGCCAATAGATTGAAGAAGAAGAATTGTTTTTCTCTTAATGAACTTTAATCCTTTTGATATAAGAATATTAAAAACATTAATATAATTTCGATTTCGGAAATTCAATTTCCAAATTTTTTGTCGATTTCGGAAATAACAGGATCCCGCATCCAACACGCAACAACAAAACACAAAACACACTTTTTGGTTCTTTCATCGTTTTAATCGTAATTTATGTAATACATGATTTGGATAAATTTTACAAAAATAGAACCTATATTATATTCTTTTCAAAGATTCTTGCAAATCATCAAAAATAATTGTATTTTAAAAAACGATCAAATTATCCTTTCATTATTTTAAACTTAAATTAGTTTTTATGATTGACTAAAGCAATCATATTTATTCATCATTAAATAAACAAAAAAATAATATTTGAGAGTTATTTCAAAAAAAACACATTGAATTTATTAATTTGTCTCAATTTCAGTATTATAAATTTTTATAATTTCAATATTTTGAAATACACTTTTTAATATTTCAATATTTATGATATTTCAATGTATTAATTGGTCTCAAATTGAGCTTCTCAAATATAAGTTGGCCTATTCAAATAATAAAATTAAATAATATTTAAAATAATAAATAAAAGTGATTGAGGTCATAGCAAAACGGCTGTTTGGAGGCAGTTAGGAGCTAGCGGTTGAAGCGATAACATTCACAGCCAACATCTACGGTCAAGCGGCAGCATTCAAGGACAACATCTACAATCAAGCAGCAGCATTCAAGGGCAACATCTACGATCAAGCAGCAGCAAGAAGCTACGGCAGCAACGAACTACGGCAGGTCAAGCGGCATCATTCAAGGCCAACATCTACAATCAAGCTGCAGCAAGGAACTACGGCAGGTCAAGCGGCATCATTCAAGGCCAACATCTACAATCAAGCAGCATCAAGGGGCTACAGTAGGTCAAGCTGCAGCATGGAGCTACAGCATCAAGGAGCTACGGCAGGTCAAGCAGCATCAAGGAGCTACAGCAGGTCAATGGCATCAAGGAGCTACGGCAGGTCAATGGCATCAAGGAGCTACGGGTGGTCAAGCAGCATCAAGGAGCTACGGCAGCAAGAGGCTACGGCAAGTTAAAGATCAGTCAGATCTGGAAATATCTTTTTCAGGATTTCATTTGTCATGAAAAGCTTCAATAGGATTCTACACCTTATTAGATCTTCACGTGCGTTTTGATTAAACCTATTACGCAGGTTCCGCACAATTGAAATCATTCTTTCCACATCAGCTTCGGTTGCAGCAATAGACATGAATTTTAAGGTAATCTCTTTCAATGCCTTGAAATTTGCATCACATGCTACCCAAAACCTTTGATCCAAGCAGGTGAGGTCGGTGTTGTTCCTGATTTCACTCTCATTCATATGTATAAAGTTGGAAAGAGCTTTCTTGTACTCATTAGCTATGCTCTTGGCCGAACTTCTCTTGTAGAACCTCGCTTCTGCTTCTGCACGTCTCGAAAGCATCTCGATCATAAAATCGTTGAAGCTGTACTCTTCCACTTCTTGCATTGACAGAGACGCCCATTCACCAAGGTTCCTGCCTAGTCTCCTCCTTGGTTCATTCTCTTCAACTTCTTCATCCTGAGCAATGTCTTCTGCATAGAGATGTGAAAACTTAAATTTTATAATCCCTGGGATGCACTTTCTTCGATTTTTTTAAAATTTTTGGGATAAATTTTGACATCTTTTTTTTGCTGGCGACCCCCCACCCGTTCACAAAAAAAATATCGAGCGAAGGGGGGTCGCCAGCAAAAATCGAAAATTTTTTTTGGTGAACGGGGGGTCGCCAGCAAGAACCTTAAAAATAAACTTCAGAAAAAAAATCTAAAAAGAAAAAAACGAAAAGGCCCTGGGGTCGAACTGGGGAACTTAAGGCTTATACTATGACTCTTACCACTGAACTATATTATCTGTGGATCGGTGCTTTATAAATTGTAAATATAAAGATTATCATAACGAATTAAAATATAAAATAATAAATATTACTCTTATATATTATTAGATTTTAAATTACAAAATAATAATAACAAAAAAAATATTCATGACCGGAGGTTTTAATTAATGTTTAATGAAAGAGAACGATTCATTATAAATTATTAAATGTTAAATTGTTGTAAAAACACATTGAAATATTTGTGAAGAAAATGGCTATTTAATATTGAAAAATAAATAATAACAAAATGTTTATTTCATTTAGTTGCCATTAAGATATGACGGCTATTTAACAAGTTTTTCTTGGATCTTAACCGCCTAACGTTCAAAATTAACCTTTGTGCTTTGATATTACGTTCACATGTTGCCTCCGAAGGAGATGAACATAACAAGCGTAATGCTATTTCAGCAAGGATGGATTTTTCTCCAATTCTATGCGAGATCTCTTCCCAAGCATAATTTTGTGCCTCGTCCATCAGATCGTTCTCAAAGATGTCTGATTCCTTATTGATGAACGTATTATATAACGAGAGTACAAGCGTTTTTTGTCTTTCGTTCAATCGGAATTGAACCAAAATGCGCTTGAGGTAATCTTTAGCTGCTGTTAGATCATTTTCGGCAGTCTGATGATTATCCTCGCGTACATCTTGCAATGTAAGCCTAAGTTGATCATCAGATTCGACAATTCTACGAAATGTGCCTTCATCTGTTACATCAATTACAGCGTTTGTGTTACCTTCCTCAAAAATAGAATCCATGTAAATGTCCTGTAAATCTTCTGCCGGATCTTTATCAGGAATATGCTCACTTTGAAAGGAACTCAAGGGATCGGCCAAATCTTCTACTTCTTCGTTTTTAACAAACTTTCTATGGAAGTAGAACCTTCCTCTCGGCGTGAGAGAGAATGCCAAACACCATAGCCCACCAAAGTCAGAGTCCAAGGTATAGCTATCCAATGAAGATGCCAAGATGGATCCGAATGCATTATGCAAATTGGATGTCAAAAGATTGAGAGCTGATATGGCTTTACGAAGCCAAATGTAACAATTTGCCAACAATGCCTTATCCGATTCGAATACTAAGATTAGCTTTTTAAGAACAGCTAAACAATCTTTCAATTGTACGATTTTATCGTGATCTACATTTATATATTGCTTGATTTTGTTTTCGTACTTAAGAATAAAGACACATATATTATAGTCATATATCCATCTGGTGGATACATGCTGTGGACATTGTGCACCTATATCGTCAGCATGAATGCGACAAAGTTCTGCAATTCTGTGCACATCCTTTACTAAACTTTGTAACTGGTTGTTCTTGCCAGCAATATATTGATAGCTGTTGTGGATTCTGTGACACAAACAGGGAATAAGCAATATCTTGTAGTATTTTGGATCTCTGTCATGATAGAATGAATCATTCCAAGTATCTTTGAAGCATTTTAACTGTGCTGGTCCTCCGTCAACTACCACACTACCTATCTTGACTTTCCTAATGTCAATTCTGTTAAATCCTGCTGTTATTGCGGATTTATAATCCTGACTTGTCTGGCCATCCTTCATATCTATCGCCTCTACTGGGTATGGCTTCATTTGCTCCAACGGATTTGTTAAGACAAAATCAAGATTGTGGTAATCATGTGTCTTGCCTTCATCGATGGCGACACAAGTGTATGCTTTTTTGGCGAATTCGAGAACTTTAGCAAGGTGTATGCTGTTAGCAATAGCAATCATTCTATTTCGGATCTCATCACGTGTAATAGGCTTATATAATTTGTCAGCAAGTTTTTCCGGATTGATATTAGCTGACTGAAGTTGTTTGTATTTGTTCATCATTTGATATATTGTGAACATAATGAAAATCTTTGCAACATGCGTGAATTCTGGGGATGCAAATGTGTCTAAGGCAAGGTTGAACTTACCGGTAAAAATGGTCATTTCATCGTATACATTCGATAAATCCAACATTGGATCATTTGCTGTTTACCTTTATTGTAGTAGTCAAGTAATGTTTGCTGCGATAATGCTTCTCCGGCCTGACATGTGTGAACATGAGTCTTAAGCCAGTTTTTATAATGATCCTCCCTTTGTTCTTGCATTGAACACCGGCAAACTACGCCATCAGATCGTGTCACAAGTTCATTGCATTTTACATACCACTTGGGACTACCTTCATGTTTATATCGCATGTAAACATGTTGTTTCGTTTCAAGATCGGGATATGTTGTGAACCCGACTTCTTTCATTAATGAAGTGATTTCTTAAGTTGAATAAAAACAAATTTGATTGAAATTCATACAAAATTTTTTATCATTATTATTTAAGATGCTTTTTTATGTTGAATTGTTAATTTTTTTATTTCCACCTGGGATATTTTGAATTGGGCTAGCCCAATCCCACCTCTCAATTTTCTCTCAATTGGGCAATGGGGATCCCATATAAAATGTATTGTAACAAAATTTTACATGCATAATATAGTACAATTAAACAACATTCTAAAAATATTAAATTCACATCATTTACTTGAAGATTTTATATTTTCAACAAAAATTAATACAATAATTACATTAAATTGAGGAGATTTATAATAATTATTATAAATTAAAATATTATTACTCATTAATTTGTTGAAATATTGCATTTTAGTGGTAAAAATTAAAATTTAAGTTTACATGCAGAAAAAAATTTTAAATTCCAAAAAAAATTCAATTGGGATAACGATAGGGACAAAAATTTAGAATCCCCATATGCTTGGGATAAAATCACATGAATACTTCTGCATCTACTTGGCCATCACCTTCAATTGCTTCGTTCTCAATCTCGGGCTCTTCTATATCTAGATTTCTGTCCAATTGATCCTCTGCCACTTCATCCAAATGATCAGGGGTGTAGTTCCTTGGAGGGATTTCAAGTTCAGCATTGATAGGTATTGGTTCTTGGAAGAAGAGTGAAACGTCTGGCTTGTACTCAGTATGCATGTTCAATTCTGCGCGGATGACTGACCGGCCCCATGGAGTTAGACCAAAGGCAAATTTCATCAAAGCGTAGTTGCCCTGTTTGTCAAAAACTTCATTCATGTTGGCGATTAATGCATCTGCAATGCGCTTTGACGAACTTGATAATTCAGGACGATTTGCAATTCTGGTCAACTGCTCAATCGTCGATTGAAACATTGGATAGATGTAGCAGAAGCAGCCAACGTCACTCTCTGCATAATTCAAGAGTTTCTTGATTGGTAAAAGAATCTCTTCGAAATTTAACAACCATTGTGGAAGTCCATCCTTGAAATCAATTCCCATATCCCTTAAGATCTGAACAGATTCCGGTGGATCATCCATATTGAACAATTCATAAATTTTAGGGTGTTTTTCTTTTATCCACTTCAGAAGATCCCAGAAAAAACATCCAGCGATGATCCGGAACATGAATAACCTCATATTCAATGCCCTTCTCGTGTCCGGCTTCGAAACTCCTTGCTTATCGCTTTGCAATAATTAATTTGCATTGCGAAAGCTGCACAATTGTCTGCCGTATGCTTCACCACTAAGTTGAGGAGATGCGCAACACATCGGATATAAACGGTTTGAAGACCCGGATATAGTGCTCCGCATCTCCTCCAGTGGCACAGCCCTTTAACTTGGGCGGGGCATCCATCGGCAACAATTGCAGAAAGGAAATCCTTTGGGAAGGTAAAACATTCAAAGAAATTATTGTAATCCCTGGCATTCCAACCATCAGCGATCATAGTATCAATGAAGATATGGTTCTTCATTTTTGCTGGATTGCTAGCCATCACAAAAAAGCCATGCCGGCTTCCGTGTGATGCCGCATCAATTGTTATCGAATAGTAGCCCATCTTGTCAAGCTCAACGTGTATTTTTGGAGCTACCAAGTCGGCTAATGTAATGATTCCATCCCTTATCTCGTCTCTTCTATATGGGATCTTGAGTTGAAAATTGATTACTCCCTTGAAGGTGGAGTAGACATGTCGGGCGAAATCTTCTAGTACACCTGAAGCGGCCATATTGATTGACATGTTGGTATCCACAACAAATTTTACAACATAAAGTAATTTTCTATCTTGTTTTATTAAATCTCTTCTCGTATATGGATTATTTTCACATTGTATTTGATATATATGCTGATGATCTTCATCAAATTCTGATGGTTTTCGATGATAAATGCAGCGCATATATGTTTTTGTTAGTAAATTGTAATGTATCGCTAAACAATAACAATAAAGTCTTTTTCGTTCTTTCGATTTTTCGCTTGTATCTGGAAGATAAGCAATATTGAAACATACTCGACATTTATTATTAGTTGAGAATTTAGTATCCTCGAATTTTGGTAAGGGAGGTACTTTTCGAGGGATATTTTTGGGAGGAAGTTTGCAATCAATCCATCCCTCAAATTTGGATTCATATTCATCTTGTGTTTCAGTCATTAATTCTTAAAAATAAAAAGGGTAAAAACTAAATAAAATGGGTAAAATTCAATAGTGTCTGTGCTATCGTTCAATTTGAAGGTGTCTTTTGAAACCGCAAGACACATTGAATTTTTGAATGGTGTATTATGGTTTGACAGACACCAATGAAAAAAATAAAATGATATTTATTTTAAATATATAAGATCCTTATATAAAATATAAATATTTTATCGTTTTATTTTCTTGTTTTAGAAATGTTTTTTATTGAAAAATCAATAAAACTAACTCCAAAATAAAATTTTTGATTTAAAGACACTATGATGACACCAGGCAAATCTTCCAAGACACCTATCGTCGGGAATCTAACAACCCTAAATCCCCGCAGATTCGGGGGTTTTTAAATTTTTTGATTTTTTTCGCAAATTTTTCGAAAAAAAATATTTTCAGAAGAGAGAGGGTCAAAGTTGCTATTTGTCACTTTTCCACAAGAATATAATGGGGAAAAAGAGTTAGTATACATATCATGGGTACGGCGGCACTGCGCGCCTCCTTACCCATTATATGTGAATTTGACACTTTACGAAACCGTTAACGTATATTTTACAACACAAACGACAACACTAACTTAACCTTAAATATTTACAAAGCCGCCAACCACTTCACCTCACTAATGTAAAAAATAAACGTTCTCACTTACAAAAGTATTGCAACTCCTCCCATTGCTGTGCTTCACATAACAGCTCATAATCTTCTGACTCACTTTCTTCTTCATATAGGTCAAAGTCACTGTCAAAATAAATGTTAGTAAGTTTTGACAAAGCTAATGAAACACGCTTACCGTTTGTATCATATGCTTGTATAAACTTTCCATTATGCTTGTAGTCATAAACGCTCAAACTAACTTTACCCTTTCTCCCTCGTATCTGATAGAATGTATTTTCACGAGGAACGAAGAACAAATTCTTGAACTCATGACCGTTGTAGTTTGTTATCTCAATAGTTTTCGTCATTTATATAAAAATAAAATAAAAATAAAATAAAAATAAAATAAAAATTAATGATATCACCACCCTCACACGTATGAAAACATAGCGCAAAAATAAATTTAGGGTAGAAGGGTAGATCTAACCTCATTTCTACCCTCATTTCTACCCTGTTGAATTCATTGCTTTATAACTCTCTTCCTTGGTTTCTTTTTAGTTGCTTTCTTCACGTCTGTCTCCAACTTGACTGTCTTTCTTCTTCGTCCGTAATGATACCAATTACTTCCACCAGTCAATGGGTCAAATGGTCTTTCGTAAGTGTTTCCATACATTCCATAAGGTCCGTATGGATAAACCGCTGGTGGAGAAGAAACATTTTCTTTAGTTCCATCGACTCTATTTAAATGCATTGTTTCACCTTTCATCTGGTCATTAAAGTCTTTTGCGTGTTTTGCAAACTCATCGTCCTTTCCTAAAGCATTTTCTGACTCAGTCGCAACCAAATTGGATGCTTTATTTATGAGCCCTATTTTATTTAATCTTAACTTCTTTGCAACCCAGCCTCCAATCTTTCCTTTATTTGCATCTAATGTCTTTGAAACCCTTCCTCCACTCATTTTATTTACTGCGTCATAAGCTCCAAGTGCTTTTGCTCCAAATGCTAATGCTTTTGTTCCCATTGCGCCTAAAGCTGCCCAAGCTACCATTTACACCATATTAAAATCATCTCTCTTCAATATTATCTCATAAAAGTTCTCGTTACTGGAGAAAGTCAATGAAACATAAGCGTTCTCACGGGCTTCGCCCTCACCGCTTTGCGGTCTATCTAACTTCTTTCTTATATCATCTATACGCTTCAAAATGTCTGAACAATTGCTAACATCTTCTACAACAGTTATTTCATCATGAATGACCTTCAAGAACAAGCTCATTTAATATGCTATTAAAATCATCTCAATAATGAGTCCATCCTTTCCATCTTTAGGTAGCACAACATCTTTCATTGAAGAAGGTTCGACAAGTCTTATGTTAAACTTACTGACAAAGTTTGTTATACTATAATGCTTCGGTGGCGAATACATGTAGTTTGAAAGACATAATATAGATTCTTCAGCAAATTCACTTATACTGGATTTTATAACAATGTTCTCACGAGACCAAATACCACCAATTGACAATCTTGTAAGCAATCCTGCTGAACCTTCAACTGTAAACGTCGATGGTAACATTCCACGAAGGTCATCTATTGACATCTTTGAGTCACTGAATTTAAAGATTTTCTTAAAGCAATCGTCATTATCTAACCATGCAATAGCTTTGAAGTTTTCATTCGAATATACATCTGCTTCATTAAATGTAAATCCTGACTTCTTTGCAGAGACGACTTTAAAATCTATTGAGTTTGTTTCAAAATTATATGTTATGGTAACTTCTGAAGGTAATGG